GGAGGAGGGTGGGTGGCGATAATGTGTCCATGGCTCAGTGAGTCTTGTTTCTGAGGCTTGAGGCAACCATGCCACCATTTATCATCAAATTTGAATCTTTTAATAAAATTAAACAGCCTGAAAAATGTTCTTGCCAGTTATTAAAGTCAACCAAGGGGATTATGATCCTAGGGAAAGGCAGTGAAGTGTCTTCTAGAAAAAGAGAGTAAAACCAATGGAGGTCATCGCTGGTTTGATCTGTTACGTACCTTGAGTCCACACTACAGCCCAGCCCTGCTTAAAGCGCTTCCAGGGTGCTCCAAATAAATCCAACTTCGTGCTCACCACTGTCTCCACGGTCCCCCACACCTCCCCGCCAGGCTGGCCCCACGGTCCTTCTCTTGATCACAGTAAGCTGTTTCCTGCCTCAGGGCCTTTGCACATGTCACTACCTCTGCCTAACACCTCTTCTCCCAGACCCTTAGAAGCCTGGCTCTTTCTTTTCATTCATGTCTCAGGCCACATGTCACTCCTCGGGTGACACCCACCACCAGCATCCCCCAAAAGCACTTCCTTCCCTCCCTTGTCTTCTTTTGTGTGATGCATACTGATCACTGTCTGAAACGATTTACTCACGTAGACTCTGCCTCCTTGGCCGAAAACGTAAAAGGGAAGGACTGAGTCAGTCACCGCAACCGTTTCCAGCAGGTTCGGCAGTGAAATCTCACGGTGGAACTGCAGCTCACATGGCAAGTGATCCTGGTTAATCCTCACACCAAAACCTGGGACAGGGTCACTGCCGTGTCAGGTACAGCATCCCTCGCAGGTGGCCCAACAGTGTGGGCAAGGGGTGTGACTGCCTCTTGCCCACAAGGACCCTAGTCAGGCTCAGAGGGGAGAAGAGGCTCACTGAGGTCACCAGCAGCTGGGCCTCAGAGCCCGAGAGCTGAGTCTTCTCTGGGTGGCTGCTGGGGGCTCAGGTCCCCAACGGGGGTGGGATTCCTTGACTGTATTTGGGGGAAGCGATTCAGGGCTGCTTTGTGGGACATGCCGTGAGCCACCTCTAATTAGGAGGCTGTGTTGAGAAAGAGAGAAGGTTCTTGGCCCAGCTGCCTGCACTGAGGCCCCCCTCCCCTCCTGGGGCTTCTTGGTTCTGGAACCGTCGGTGGCAATAGAAAATATCATGGCAGGAGAAAGGCCAGTGGGCCCACTCCAGACTCGGGGCTGAAATAAGGAGGGTGGGTTTGGGGGCCTAGTGGCCTTTCTTGGCTCCCCACTGTGAGCCTGGCTCCCCCACATACAAGCCAAGATGGCTTTAATCAAAAGAGAGGAAAGTAAAACCCACAGTTCTTGTTCAGAACAAAACAAAACAAAATTAATGTTCTCCATTGTATGTTCAGTCACGTTTAAAAGGAAAAACACCCGAGCAGTTGATAATTTCACAGCGTAAGCTCCCAGGAGAGTAAATGAGCTTTTTTCTTTTTAATAAAAAGTTTAAATTGTATACAGCTCTCAGAGGCCCATTAACTACCAGATGCTGGTTATCAAAAGAAGTTATTTCTTGGCTTTTTCTAAGCGAATGTGTTTAATCTCCCAGCAGTGCCGCTGGCCCCAGGAGCTGGCTGGCGGTGATGGTGACAGGGGCTCTGCCCCTTGCGCCCTGGTCTCCTGCGGCCAGTGACTCAGACAGAGTGGAGGCTGCGGGGAGGGGCAGCATGTCCTGGACAGCACAGTGAGGGGCCGAGTTAGGGCCACTCGTGGCCATTTAGTGCGGCCCAGGGGGCAGGGGCTGTTCCCACCACCAGGGCTGAACCTGGACAGCGGGGTGCCACCTCCAATCTGCTGGTGATGACCTTAAGTGACTGCGAGCCGGCTTCCTCTCACACATGTAACCCCATTAGTGGACCTGAGGATGGGAGCAAATTACCTGCCTTCATATTCAAGGACTAACCTTCTCAGCTTCCAGATGGACCCTCCTCTGAGCCCCACCCCAGCTAGGGGGCCTCCCTGCTCTTTGTAAATCACCTCCTGGGCGCTCCCAGGGCCTTTGCATGGGCTGTGCCCTCCGCCTGGAAGGCCCTGCCACCCCACCTCCACTCAGCCTCTTCCCACCCCTTTTTATTTGTGTCCCCACAGCACCTGTCAGTATCTGAAAGTCCCTATTTGTTCCCTTCCCTACTCCTCACTGGCCTCTCTCCTCTAGAACGAGTCCCCTGACAGCGGCCATGTCTGTTTTGTTCCCCACTGCGCTCCCAGTGTGTGGGAGGCACATCGTAGGAGCTCAATAAACACTGGCTGAATGAATAAATGCAGAGTGCTGGTTGGAACTCAGGCATCAAGATGACAACCACATACTCTAAATACTGGCTTGGAGTTTTGATGTTGCTTTTTTTTTTTTAATAAGATGGGCAGAGCAGAAACCGAATCGTGAGCTTGAAGATACCTGTGTTTTGCTAGCCAGGCTCTCTAGAAAGGGCCCTGGGACAATGGCTGTCTTAGAATAGAGGCCCACAGGGCCTGACGCGGGGTCCCAAGGGTCCCTCTTAGGTTTCTCATGCCTATGAAGTGGGGAGTAGGAGACGCTCGGCCTCCTGCAGACACCTAGGGTTTTTCACCCTTCCTGTGGAGCCCCTGGCTTCAGCTTCCTCACCAGCAAAATGAACTGAAACCTGATGATTCCTGGAGCCATCCAGCGCCAGCACCTGGAAGGCCCATCACTGGCAAGAGGTTCAAGAAGAACCAACGGTGTGTTCTAAGAGGAAGGGCTTTAAACAGAGACCATCAGTGAGGGTGGGTCTTTTTCCAGTGAGATCTTATTTCCCAGGGAGTAATTAAGAATCCTACTATTCTTATTCCTACATTTGGTAATTCTTAATCCTCAGGAACAAAAAAACTTGGGTGGTCATTACTTCTGTTAAAATACACTGTATCGGTTGAACAAGGCCCACATATATTTACTGAACACCAACACATGCCAGGTATTGAACTGGGTTCCCGGGGAGGAAGCTTCCAGACTTCCAGCTAAAGTGTTTGATAGAATGTAAATTTTGACCTCTCCTTCCTTCTGAAGCCTCAATAAAGTGTGGGCAAAGACTAAAAAGGCACACATCACATGGATAAACACAAAAGGAGAAGAGAACACAGCCAACAAGAGATGTTAGCAAAATTCCAGAATTTGGAAAGCTGATAGGCAACGTATCATAGACAGCAGATCACAGAAAGCAGAAGTGCTGGTTGAGAGGCAGAGTTCGAGGCAGGTCCATTCATTCCCTAAAGGCTCAGGAATTGGTCACCCAAGGCCCCTGAATGGCAGGAGAGCAAGGGGTCTGAAAATAGGACTAGTTTAAAGTCTACAACAGAAGTTTTACCCCCAAATCCTGCCTCTAACCCCTGTGAGAAACCAGAAATTTAATCAGGGGATCTCTGGACTTGGAGACTTTTAGGGCAAGGAATCAAGCTGAAAATAGAGGTGGTAAAGAAAACCTGGCCCGTAAAAGTGAGGGTGCATGTCCTCCTCCTTCAGAGATTGCAGCCAAGATTCCTCTGCAGAGAAATAAGCCCCAGGTAAACCAACTACAGATACTAAAAGTCTCTAGGAGGTGTGTTAGGGCCCAACTCAGTGAGCTTTCATAGAAACCTACCATTCATATCCCACCTACACCTGTGCAGCTGCCCATCAGCTTGTTAGTGCTTCACTCATAAATATATAAGGACATTCAAGGTCACCAGGCATTGGAGGAAAGCCTCCAAAATGATAGAGACACCAACATAGTCCAAAGTGTCTAGTAGGTAGAAGATAATGCAGGCAACAGAGCAACAATACTATCCTCGGTGAAAAGAATGTTAACCTTCTAAAAACCACCACCATTTGTCAGTCCCTCTTATAGAACAACAAAGAAGAACTTACAGAACCACAAAAGAACTACAATTTCCTCAACAGAAAGGAAATGTTATATATCTACCAAGAACAGGTTGCTCTAAACAAATAATAGGAACCGGAAAGGAAAGAATCGTTAAAAATTATAAATGTAATAGAAGAAAAATCAAGAGAAAGTTGAAAATTAAAGTTCAGAATTTACTCCAGAAATTTAAAAAAATGAGAGATCAGGAATTAACATGTCACTCTATTTATTAAGGGCAATTCTGAAAGCTGGCGATCAGTAAACAACATTTTTGAAATCCTCAGAATGACTTCCAACCTTGATTTTTATACCCAGTACAATTATCCATTGAGAGGGGGGCCAGATATGTCAAGTTCTCAGAAAAAACCCCACGTACTCCTTTCTCAGAAATCTGCTAAAGGATGTGCTCCACCAGAATGAAGTTGTAAAACAAGAAGAAGCCAAAGATCTAGAAAATAGGGGATCCAACCCAGAAGAGGTCAAAGGGCATTCCCAAGATGGCAGTGGATGAACGATCCAGAGAGAAATCGGTCTACAAGAGAATGCAGAGCTCTGGGAGTGACATTTCTAAGAAAACAGACATCAAAATTACAGATTAGCTGATGTGTGAATGTACTCAAGAGATTTACACTCGGTCAGGGTCTGGGACTGAACTTATGACAGATCCATAGGAAACAAAGCAAACAAAACACTGAGATTCAGCAACCCCGGGGGGAGAAATGGTTATGTGTAAAAGGGGAGTGTATCATAGGACATACACAACTGTGAACAGTACTTGAAGGAGTCTTGATCATGCAAAAGGATATAACTTAGCCTAAAATTCCACTGCGGGAGGGAGAGGGAAGGAGAGTGTGCTCGGATAGGGTGGAGAGAAAGGTTCTTAGAGCTAAATCCTTGTCTTCCTTAGAAGGAATTCGGTAGATAAATATCCAGAAGTAAAAAGTCAAGAAAGAGTAATACAGCCACACTGTTCAGAAACATAGAGGTTAATACCAGAAGAAAGAGTGCTAATGGCCACCTCTCACAAGGTGAAGACCAGAGGCTGGTTTCCATCAAGAGCCGTTAGAACTATGGTTGACCCTTAACAGGCATGTGTCCACTTCTATGTGAATTTTTTTTGATACTGTAGATTATTTTCTCTTCCTTGTGACTTTCTTCATAGCATGTTCTTTTCTCTAGCTTACTTTACTGTAAGAATACAGTACATGTCTACAATACTCTACAGTAAGTCTATAGTACTGTACATATGTCTATAATGCTGTACATATATTATCTATAATGCTGTACATGTAACATATAAAATATGTGTTAATCGACTGTTTATATTATCAGTAAGGCTTTGGGTCAACAGTAGGCTATTAGTAGTTGAATGTTGGGGGAGTCAAAAGTTATATGTAGGTTTGTTTTTGACTGTGAGGGGGTCACTACCCCTAATCTGTGTTGTTCAAGAATCAACTGTTTGGCTTTTTTTTTTTTAAATAAATCTTTATTGATTTCAGAGAGAGGAAAGGAGAGGGGGAGAGAGAGATAGAAACATCAATGATGAGTCATTGATCGGCTGCCTCCTGCTTGTCCCCAACTGGGGATCAAGCCCGCAACCCGGGCATGTGCCCTGACCGGGAATCGAACCCTGATCGCCTGGATCCTAGGTTGACGCTCAACTGCTGAGCCACGCCCGGCTGGCCTGTGTTTGGCCTTTTATACTATGCACATGAAATGCTTTGGTAAATTAAGTTAAAAATCCTACAACAAAGCCAAATCCTACAACAACCAAACCAAGAACTTCCCCTCAAATTGCTTTCAATCCAGTCAATGGATTGACCATGGTAGGAGGTTTCAAACACTTTTGGGGATCAGAGGTGGTAGGGTAGGGAGGGAGTGGGTGTCATAGAGCAGGCAGTGCCAGCTAAGGGGACAAGATAGCATTCGAGAGTCTGTGCAAATTGGGCTCACGGTCAATGTCTGAGACTGAGGGAAACACTGGAGGGAAGGCCCAGAGGGCGACAATGGTGGGGCTATGGCCGTGGGCCGCCAGCCCCTCCTCACAGAGGGACTGGATGACTACTCTGTGATGGCTTCGTCATCAGTAACCGAAAATACTGTCTGTATTTGGGAGGAGCATTCAGGACAAGCAGCTCGATTCCAAGGGGGGGCATGTAACGTGACAGCGGGTCTCGGCTTGACTGTGGCGTGCCCCACCTTCCTTCACACTTCCCTAACACCTTTGAAGTAGCAGAAAGGTACATTTTTCCAAAAGTCCAAACACCGATTTTGTGTTTCTCCAAATTTTTACTATTCCTTCTCTTCTCTGAAGTGACTTAAGTAGTCAAAAATTGCTAAGAAAACAGAAACAAAAATAAGAAGTCCAGACTCCGGGGGCAATTTCTGAGGGTATTCCCAGTTTCCGAGGGGGTACATCACGCCCCTCACAGGACCTGGGCAAATTCCCAGGGGCAGGTCTGCCTGTGAATGGACGAGCAACACGGCGCTTACCTCCTCAGAACAGCTCCTTCTGCTACTGTCCAGAAAACACCTTCACGCGGCAGCTCTGATTTTAACCCTTTAAAGATTACCACCATTTTCAGCCCCTCTTATAGAAGCTCTGATGGCCTGGGGTGCCGAAATCTTGCCTCATTTGTGCCCTCTGTGGACAACAGTCACCAGGACCCCTGGGCATGGGCGTGTGACACAGGCGTTTGGACCAGTGCAATAGCGAGCTCTCTAGCACAGGGTGAGACTGGAGAGCCAGAGGTGGCCACAGAGGCTCCCTTAGTTCCCTCTGCCCAATCCGTGTCTATACCCTTCACTGCAATTTCGTATTAGTACAGTAATATAGATCCCTGTGTCCACCATCAGAAGTGTGTGGCCCGAGGGTCACAGTTTCTGCCGCTCCCTCATCAGCCTGGGTGTGTCGAGCCTGCTCACTGCCCTCCCCAAACCACCCTGCATCTTTGTGAGTGCCCTGATGGCCTTTAGTCACATGAAAAGCATCTCAGCCTTACGCAAAGGAATGCAAATTAAAGCTAAGCAACCATGTGCCCCTTCAGCTGGGCAAAGCCAGGAGAGGCAGACAATGCAGCCTGCGGGGAGGGCCGGGGGAGCGGGCGGGACTGGGACCAGGAGTGGGTGCACCCTCCCTGGAAGACAAGCTGCACTAGCAGGCCCCTGGGACTCAATCATTTCTAGGAACTCTCCCAAGATCCTCCCTCATTTACAGGGGCGTTTGCTGAAGCTGTGTTTATGGAAGCAGCAAGGCCAGAAACTCCATAAACGCACCTCAGTGGAGGGCAGGCGCAGTGAGTTACGGGCCCATCGCCCAGAGGAAAACAGCAGCACCGTTAAGAAAATGCGTGGACAGGAAATGATCTCCAACATACAAAGTCAAGACGCAACGCAAAGACGGGGGAGGAGGGGGAGGTCGTGGGCGCTGCTGCTTGTTAGAAAATGCATGGGCCGTGCACACGCAGACACACATGTGCAGAGGGTCCCTTAGAAACAGGAAAACCAGCAGTTTCTAGAGAAGGGAAGGGGTGTGAGTTTGGAAGAAATCTCACTTTGTACTGTCTACCCCTTGGTCTTGCATGAAGTTTTACCATTTGCACATAGTACTTTGCCAAAAGAAGCTAAAATTTTTTTCACTAATATGTCAACAAGATAACGTTGTGACATTGAAACTGTGAACAGTTGCTTGGGACAGGGACCACCCCACCTTGAAGAATCAGAAGCCTTGGAAAATTTATGACACGCGGTCCCCTACAGGAAAACGTGGGACGCAGACCTGGACGTGTTGAAGCTCTGGGCAGAAGTTTCCTCATCAGAAAAATGAGGACGTTGACCTAAGCTGTCCCTTAAGTCTGTTTTCTGGCGTAAAGTATCTATAATCTTTCATTTAAACCAATTTTCTGTTCCTAAGCAGCAGCGGAAGAGTAGTGATGGGCCCTAGAATGTTCTCTAAAGCACATCTTAAGGCTCTTAAGCCATCCATTCAAAATAATTTTACACTGAAGCATCCTTTAAATACATTCAGAGCACAGAGTTTATTGAACATAATATGGACACTGCTAGTACAAAAGTTTATGCCTTGGCAGGGCCGGCTTCTTTGGGCTGCCAGGGAACATGTGAGAACATGCTGTGCGGGTCTCTCCCGATCTGGACACCGGAGAAAGACATCTCCTTCCCTCTGGCAAATGCCAACGTGAGCCAGAAAACCTCGAACTGATTACACATCAGATAACCAGAATGTGCATGGTGAAGAGTCCTTTCCTGCACCGACTTTTTAAATGAATTCCATGTCCAAACAGGAAATGCAACTTAAAATACATCAAAGAAAAATTATGCAAACGAAAGCATTCTAAGACATCTCTTAACACACTTAATTCCCAAAGTGTGAATGCACAGTGGAGCCACAATGCACACATGCTGCGAGACCTTGTTCCAGACAGACAGAAAGATGTAAAGCAGAAGGACAGCAGGATTACTCAGAGAGGGAGGAGGTGAAGGGAACATTGAAAAAGATCATTCTGAGTTTCTTCTAGAAAGTTCCAAATGGCAGTTTATAAACTGTCTTTAAAAAGGAAACGCTAGCAACAGAAATAAGAGCCAAATGCATTTTCCTCTCTGTGTAAAGCTTGAATTGCCTTACGAATGAAAACCATGAAAACAATCACTCCCAGAATCTCGTATGGTAACTAACAGAGAAGGTGAACTGAAAAATGTTTGCTGAGTAAGTAAATGAGGAAAAGCAAGAAGTTCTTGTCCACATGGTCTCAGGATTAGACAATAAATTCTAATCTTTGATTCCAAGTAAAAGGGTCAATAGGAAAAATATATATTTCTAACTCAATGCTGGACTAGGGAGTAGCAGCTGAATTTAGCTTACTTCTGAAACCCAAACGAAAGATGGGAATGCAGACAAATGGTTCATGAACAGAACCAGAGCTTTGGGTGCTACATGGAAAGCCACCGAGTCAAGGTGAGAAGCATGAATGCTCATTTGTCATCGGCTTCGATCGCAAAAAGGGATGCGTCCTTAGCAAGAAGCCTTAACGAAATTGTGTTAAGATAACTGATTCGTCTCTCCTGGTTGGTGTTGACTGAAGTGAAACAACAAATAAAAGGCAACCTGTTTGGTTTCAGCCAGACCCACCCTTGGGTACGGGTGAAACAAGCTCCGGGCAACAGCCCCACCTGCAGCGGCCCTGCCTTGCAGCGGCCCGGGGCGCTCCCACCGCTCATCAGAATGCAAACGGGTGCACAGGACAGTGAGCCAGCCTCAGGACGGCACCCACATCCATTAGCCAAATGATTAAATATACATCAACCCTGTGGGATAATAAAGTAATTGTAATGGGGCATTGTCACAGGATCAATGTTTCCGGGTTTAAAAATAAACATTAGCATTTATCTAGCAGCAGAAAACTATTATCCCCCAGTACTGTTTTATTCAACTGACATCTTTTAATCAAAGCAATCCATATCGTGGCAGCATTCCAAGGTATCATAATTGCAAATATTTATGGCAAGTGAGATAATAGCTATATTTTTGTTGCTAGCTTTGTCTTCCTTTCCTACAGATCGGATGCCGACATTTTCTAATGAATTAATTCCATTAAGAAAAAAATCCGAAGTAATTATGTTAATCGGGGCAACCTCTCATCCACCTCCACGGCTTCACTTTTAACTATAATGCACAGCCGTGAATATGTGTTCACGTCTTCTAAATTTTTCAAAATACCTCTGTAATGAAAATAATTTAAAACAAAACCTTATTTGTCAGTGGTGTAGCGAGAGATAAAGAAACCTCTCAAAGGGAGGTCTGAGTCCCTAGACATGGGCTGTGTGTGTGTGTGCAGGGGTGGCCAGTGGGACTTGGATGAGGAGTATGGTTTGGGACTCTGGTTGGAGATTCATTTTCCCAGCCTTCCAAGTCTGCCACTGGGCCAATGCTCTGGATCAGGGTCTGCTATTACTGGCTCTCATCAACGATTTCCCGGAGAAATGCAAGCTGATTCCAGAGAGGGCTGAGCCCAGCAGCCCAGCAGCCCGGCTGTTTCCTAACCCTGGCAGGCCACTCCTGGGACGCCCCTTCTAACAAGCCAGCTCGCAGTTAATTTACACCAGCACTCTCCTCACCACCTCCCCAGACTGCTCATTTGCTTCCTAAAGCCCCCCCAGACTCACTCCTGGGAGCAGGAGGCAGAGGCTGCAGGCAGTGGGAAAACGGAAAGCACATTTCTTTAGTCTGACATATGTTCAGTTCCAAAAACAAAAACCATCTGAAGGAAAGCCCTGATTCCAGCCACTTTCTCGTTAAAATAACTACATAAGGTAAGAGCGTGGCAAATGTATAAAGGTGTGCATCGGTCTGAGACAGGGACTTAGCTCATCCTACGGTCGCTTGCTGATTCCTGCCCTGCAGCTGGTTTCAGAGATGGACTTCACTCCAAACAGGGTCTAACAAGTTACCCAACTTAGCCTCCTGGAGGCTTTGTTTCCCCCCTCTCCCCTCAGCCAGTCATTGCGAGGGCAACGTTCAATGAGCGAACATACCAGAAATGCACAGGGCCACAACAGCAACTTTCTCTAAAAGGTCCTATCACAACAGCTCTGTCTGAGGAAGGTTAAAAAAAAAAGGTGGTTGGCAAATGTAATCAGGCGGGGCCCCCCTTCACAAGGGAAACCTGGGGGCCTTGCAGCCTGATTAGATCTAAGTACCGCAAACTGTAGTCACCTATCTACCCTTCAAGGGGCCAAACCCAACTCCGTTTCAGCAACAGCAAACAGACCAGGCTTACTGGAGATGGGACTCCTCAGTAGCGACTTCTGATTCATTCCATAGTTTTACTTAGTTCTTTCTGTTCTTCCTCTAGCCAGATGGGCTCAAAAGAAAGGGGCAGGGGAGGCTGCTCTGGGAACCAAGGCTCCCAGAAGGACACCCTTCAGTGACCTGCCACCGCCAGCATGGTCCCAGAGGTCAGGTCATTCCAGTGTTCAAGGTGACCTTGCAGCCCAAGTCCCATCTCTCCTTTTTTCTTGTAAACCGAGAACTTAACAAACACACCAGAACCAGAAACTTGTAAATGGGCCAGTTCTCTAGAGAAGGAACTGAAAATGACAAATGGTATTGCATTTTGGCATGGATTCAGAGCTTGCAAATACAGAGGTCTGTCCGTGCAAAAAAATACAGGCACCATTGGAAAAATGGGAAGCTACTTACATATGGCACATGTGGCACACACGTACATGTGTACACACACAAGGCTTGTTTTCAAATTAATTTGAAAGGCTATTTAGCTCTGAGCTATCACTGCCTTCAGTTCTATCTGACTTGCCACAGCCTACAAGTCCGGCACTGGTATCTTTCGATAGCAATTCTGTTCCTGGGATTTGTTTAAAAGCGTTTAGGTTTTCATGGATCACTGGAGGTTCTTCATTTTTCCCCCTTCTGTGTTATGTAGGTATAAGCTGTCTCTCTAGGCATAAACTGTCCACTGGTAAAAATCAATTTTGATTTTATCAGTATTTATTAGTGCTGGTGCCAGCAGTTTAGAAAGACTAACGAGGGAAAACATGCAAACTAGGAGAGAGAAAATTAAAGCCGGGTCCTCACACCTACGAATAATATAGCCTGCTCTTTTCAAGAGGTATTTTTGTATCATGCCAAGGAAGCTTAAATTATCCATTTAAAAATCCAATCAATAAAAATTTATGGGACTCTGTTACTGCTTACATCTCAGTCCTTGCAAGCTGCGTGGTGGGTATTTCTAAAACAAGGGCACCGCACTCCAAGGTGCTTTGAAACCCACAACCAACCTGCCCACATCACGCAGCTTAGTTCCTGGCCAGCACCCTAACCAGTGCCAGCCTCATTCTGTGCCAGTTTATTCCAACTATCTGACTCCCATCCTCTCAGGACAGAACAGACCGCGTGCTAGGACCACACATCCACCTCTCTGCCTTCCTCTCGTTTTCCCCTTTTCCCAGAAAAGACCCCTGAAACGTGTGTTTCTCCAGGGTCAAGCCCTTGAGTGTTACAGCTTAAAGTGGTCCCTGAACTTCAGCAGAGCTGGCTCCTCACACATTCTCTCTTGACATGTTCTCTACTCACCAGGATGACTCAGAACAGCCAATCTCCCTGCCACTACCCTCCCTGGGGAGTTCCCTTCTCCCTCTCAGCCAAAAAGCCTCACAAACTAACATGTTCACCAAGTCTGAACCACTAAGTGGGAAAGAGATTATACAGGATGTTTAGTTAGAAAGAAGAGACAACTCTGGATTTTAAATCTTGATTTTTAGCTACAAACATTAATGCCCACATCCTCTGCAAAGCTTCGAGACGTCCACAAAATGCTGTCATGCACATTCAAACCCCCAAAGCAGAGGCTTCCCAGGCACTTTTTTAAAGAACTGTCACTCTAGGGAAGCACCAGCAAACTCCAGCCTCACAAGCCAAATCTCACCAGCTGTTTTTGTGAATAAAGCTTTATCAGAACACACAGCCATGCCTTTTAAGAAGGCCTGCAGACCCTGCTCCAGGGCAACGGTCTGTTTGCGGCCCTCCTAATCACTCCGCTTCCCTCCCAGGCATGAGGTACTGCAGGCTACATAAGAATTACTCTGCTGCAGTTCCTACACTCGAACAAATTTTAGTTCACTTGCAGAAAATTAGTAGCAGAAGGCACATGCCTCACAGCTCAATCCTTTCACTTCCTGGATTCACATGGGAAAAAACACAGAGACTCATTTATAACTGGGCAGCCTTCCACATCTGCCTACTCATGCAATGTGAGTGACAGGTGTGGTGCGTTTACAGCAAGTACTCGGGACACAGAGTGAACTTACTGTGAAGACAGGAAGTTACTGACCAGCCAGAGACTCCCATCTCCTAGGCTCTAGGTCCCGACCGGGTCACCAGAGCAGAACCTCAGGCCACACTGCCCCAGCCAGGCTCGGGGGAAGGAGCCTTGGGGTGCATGGCTTCTAAGACCCATCTTCCTGGTGATGGGTATGTCTTTTAAAACCCATTTGCATGCTAGAGCCATGTTCAGCGTGCCTTCCACTAGTCTGTTCTGCATGGTTCCTCCACCCAGAGGGAGGGTTTCTTTGCATTGATGGGCAAAGCAACAGAAGGGCAAGGGAGACCGCTGCTTTAAGATGATCAGCAGTTTTATTTTTATACTCGCAGTTGAAGCCAGCCCCCCAAAATATGTATTTAAATAATTAAACATATACATTTTCTCATGGATAGGGTGCATTTTAAAATCAACCTTCCAATAACAAAATGATGATGATGATGATAAAATAAACAATTCCCCCCCATATAGCAAATGTGACAAAATGACAAAAGAACTGAATTCTGGGGCTTTATTTTACTTTTTTTTTTTTTAAATGCTACATAGTCAAAGAGAATTGGATTGGTCTTTTATGGCAATAAAATGGCTCCACTGTCAAACTCTCAGTTACTACCTGCTAGATGGGCCACCTGCAGATCCCCACACACCCCGCCCTGCCCCAGAGACTGGCTCCCTCTCCTAGCCCCTCTGCTGCCTGGTCCCCAGCTGGGTTGCAGGGGTCAGTAAGGACCAGGCTTGGGGCTCATGTGCTGGAAATGTGGGTGCTGGCTGAGGGGCAGGCAGTGAAAGAACAAGATGGAAGATCGGCTGCTCTTCTCCATTACAATGGGCATGATAGAGGTGAGGTGACTGTCACTACTACAAATCTCCCTCCCTATAAGAGTCGTTAATTATTTATACAGAAAAATACTTCCTGGCTGCTGTTCTCCAACATACAAATGAACCACACGTCCATATATACATATGTAGAGCCCAGACCTCCAGAGACAGGAGTCACAGCCCTCCAGCCACGATGCCAGCTTTAGCCGCGGCATTAGGTAGCACAGGTGATTTTTAGGCCACAGCATTAATTATAATCTTGTGACAACAAGAAAACATGAGATGAAATACATTAAATAAGTTAAATATGCATTAAACATCTCTGAATACAGTTCAATCTTGCGACATGAACCAACAGGAATTTAGCTTGGTCCCTTTAAGAGAACAAAGCACTGACTTTTCCTTCAGAAGTGCCGGGCCAGTCGGTGCCCATGCCTACCCGTGCCCAGCACCCTGTCCATGCCACCACAGCACAATTCTTGGCGGCTGACTCTGCTGATCAGTCCCAAGGAACTGAGCGCCCAGGCAGCACACGGACAAGAAGCCTGGGAGCGAGCCAGCAGTGTGGGGCTATCTGTGGAGGGGATGGCACTCCCACCATGCTGGGCTCCAGCGGGCCAGCACCCAGGTGAGGAAGAGAGTTGTGTTTTCAGAGGTAACCAGCAACATGGACCAAGGCTACAGATGTTTAAAATGACATTTATCACATGCCATTACCATTTAATCATGGCTTCCCTTGTCATTAACAAAGATCATTCTTTTCCCCAATCATGTACTATACATTTTTACCTTTCTAAAAGATTGTTATAATATGTTACATTTGTGTGTGTGGGTGCACTCGCACACGCAGGGAGGGGCAATTTAAAGGCAAGACCTGTGAGATGACATCATACATTAATTTCTTTTTATACATGATTATGATAAATTTAAACCCCATGATACGGCGGATCCATCAATCCAATCGAGCCCTCCGCATGCTGCCTCTACAGGGCGATCTTCCCTATGATGACACCGACGATGAAGAACAAGACCACCAGCGCAAGCAGCCGGGTGCTGAGGCCCTCCTCCTTCCCCGCTGCGGCCGATGCAGGGACAGGGCTGTTGCTCTGTGCCGTCTTCCTCATCCGAAGTCCATCTTCTTCCTATGGGAGCAAATGTACGTTTCAAAGACAATCCAAGCACCAGAAGTGGAGTCAACTGTACAGCTTAGCAGGGTGGGCTTCCACAACCCACACTCAGACCCTGAAATGTGGTTCAACCTCCTCATTTTGAAGCCTATGAGGGGACTGACTTGAGGCCACTAAAAAATATCAGAAGCCCCTCTTTCCTCCCATCCATCCTACACATTTCTGCACCACAAATCCAAGCAGGGCACTCCTTGGTTCCCCATGATTTATAGAAAAAAGTTCTCAAGAGGGTCCAGCTTAGATACACCCACTTTCTTGGCCATATTCCTCAGCTGCTCCTCTTCACCTACATCCAACCCCAACGTCTCTGTCCTTCCTTCCTCTACTGAACAGGATTCCCAATCAAGTCACCAATTTTTGAAATGATAGGCACCTCTCAAGGCAGGAATATAAAAATCATGAGAAACTTCAAAGTAGAGGACCTGGAAGCTTTCCAACGTAGAGAGCTGTGTGCAGTTACATGTAGACTGTTCAATTTTCACTATTCAAATAACATGATATTTGGAATATTAAAATGTGACTAAACTTGATACATGCATTTCAAATATTTTCTACTTAGTGCATGGATTTCCCACTGAAGAGGCGACATTGCTTTTCCTATATATAAAGATACCTGGCCACATTCCCCCACCAACTACACAGGTGTGCAAGAAATGGCCCTTCTTCTTCCCTCCTGTCCCAGGCCAGTGCTATGTCCCTACACAGGATATGCACCAAGGCCTTCCTACCCGTGCAGCCACACCCCACAGCTGGAACTCTGGCTAACGACCTACCTACTTCTCCACACCAGGTGCACTTTCCTTTCTTTTTTTCCTTCTATTCCTTCACACCCACCTAGTGCCTAGTAGGTCCAGAAGACAAGCAGCAGCCAGCCCACCAAGCTGACTCTGGGCTCCTGTGGGACTGCTCATCACCTTGGTTGTCAGTCTATGTCAATGATTGTGTCTGTCTCCCTGCTACCCGTTTGCAGGGAGCTCCTCAAGGGCAGGACTGCTCCCATTTGTATTCACAGTACTGGGTGCACAGTAGGGCCTCAGGAAATTTGTTGGCCAAATAAAAGAATGAAAAAATACAAAACAACAAATGAGTGTCTGGCAGGATAAAGAAGAATCTTCTAATGTCAAGATTGGTCTGATAATATTTTAAAGATATTCTGCTCATGGGACATGGCCAATATTGCTGCACAGTGATAAATGACTGGTGTTATTCGATTAACTTAAAAAAAAAAATGGGCACAGCAAAATATAGCATTTATCTTATTAGGTTTATATAGAAGCTATTTCTACCTATTTATCACTTTAAACGGCACAGAACTCTGTTTCTGAAGAGAAATACACTCAAGGAGAAGCTTTAGGTGTATCTTAGATTTTTAACCAAAAAGTAAAGCGTAGGCTTAATAATTTGCCCCACTGTATGAGGCCAATGAAAACTTTTGCAGGGAAAGAAGAAGGTGTCGCTTCCCAAGCACTGTCAGTTTTAGACCAACCACACTGTCAGAATAAAAGAGAAGGAAGAGTTGACTGAAATGAAATTGTTACAAGAATCGGGTGCTGCAGTAGTTAGAGAGCAAAAACCTATTACATGCTTGGGTGGCACGACCAAGATGAAGGGAATAGGTCAGCCTCAAAATTTAAGCTGCAACAAAAAGTTCCTGTGATCAGATGATAGGAAATGTTCTCTTCACTACAGAGTCTAAAACAGACACACTTTTAAAGCTGGAAGGGGCCTCAGAGGTATTTTGTGAACAGAGGTCTGGGAGATGCTGTGACTAAGACTAGACTCAGAGCTAGCTGAAGTCTGACTAGTCATTTCCACACCACCACAGGCCTCCAGGGCTGACAGCAGTGCCCCCTGCCTCCCTCCACCACCCAGGGCAACCTGATCCTCCAGCATCAATGCTGGCCGCCTCGTCTCTCCGTAGCTGGAAACAGTTTTTCCTTCCACAATCTCCACCTATCTACTCTGACAACTTCTCGTCTCCAACCTCATCACCGTGTTCATAGTTTGATGGGGGCCTTATGCTCAGATCCATCTGGAATCTTTGAAAGTCAGAATTATGCCTGTGTTAAAATGGAGTGCAGGTCGGTATTTACCCTCTTCAAAAAGAGATTCTCATCCAGTGGGGATGAATGAAACAGGGTTTGAAAATGTAAATTCCACATAATTACTGCTGTTTTATTTTTGGCCTCTAATTTTCCTTTCAATTTACACTAATGGAGGGTGGGAGGGTTTCCCCTGTTTTGTTTTACACAAGAGGACAAGAGTTTAAATAGACAGATTCTTGAAGGGGCAAGGGGAGGTTCAAGACCCCTTTGAGAACCTGATGAAAGCTATGGATTTCCTCCCTGGGGGAAAAGTGCACAAATACAAACAAGTCTACAAATTCAGGGGTCTGTTGACTTCCCTCCCCAAGTCCTAGTGAGGAATCCAGTTCTCTGCAGGTTATTAGAAAAGGAAATGCTGTTACCTTGAACTGTCTGTTCTCTTCCCGCAGCCGCTGGACTTCGCCCTGCAGTCTCTTACACTCTTCCATCACCTTCTTCACTTCAGTGTCATCCAAAGAAGAGCTCAGAGATTTAGACACTGCTGGTGTTTCTGTCTTTGATGCAGTTGTGGATATAATTTTATTTATTTCTACATCATGCTGTTCAGAAATAAATGAAAGCCCAAGTGTCACCAACTATGTAATAAAGGACTTTTTATGCAAAGTAAAGTAGCTCTCAGCAACACCACACGTGGCAGCATTTCATCACACTGTAAAATGTCACGTTTATTTAAAAATGGATCACTTCATCTAGTATCTTAATATTAATAATCTAAAGCAACTAGGCCCCAGAAATTATGGAGAAGGGCAAATAATGAAGTCAGACTGAGACTAATACTTCAGAGAAAGAGGAAAGGGCTGTGTGTATTGTACTATAAGACTCCTGCCATGCAAAAATTAGCATATAGTAATTGTGCAAGCGCAGGAACTATTAGCCACAAATTATTGTCACCATGAAGATCTGAGCATCCTAGGACTGGCTGGGTGGGGGTGGGAAGCCAGGGAGGACACAGAGGGCAATTTAGGTCATGAAATTAGAACTTGGAAGCCAGATGAAAGTGGAATAAGCTGTGTCTGCTTATATTTCAATCTGGGGAAGCTATATACCACTCCCCCCATTTCCCCTGTGTTATGACATTGTCTTGAGACTAACTAGGGATGCATCAGTAGTGCGGGCACGGAGGCTCAGGTGTGCTGGGGATTGCTGCCCTGGGTGGTGGGGTTCCAAGTAGAAAACTAAGAACTTCTCATCTAGCTCTACCAACCTAACTATTTAGCTCTACCCTTTATTTTCCAGATGAGAAGAGTGAGGCCCTGAAAGACAAGGCCCCAATCTACAAAGCTAATGTATCACAGAGCTAGGATCAGAATACAGGTCTTAAAACTTCCAAAACTGACCTTCCCAGGACATAATGTGCAACTCAAAGAAACAGAGTAACAGTCATGTCAGTGACTGTGCTGAAAGAACATACTAAGTAGTTCTGGCACAAATCCAGAGCATTCCTGCTGGTCATTCTGGGTAATGGTAACAGAAGGTCTCTGCTATTAACAGCCAGGGGAGCTAATACTCTGCCTAGGCTTTAAATTGTGTTTTTGACACAACTTGAATTTTTCTGACTAGGTTGAAGGGAGTCCATATTAGCATTTCAGTCTTCTGTCTTCAACTGGTCACAAGTGAGGGCAATGCCAGGCCTATCCCTCAGTTTCACACAAACAGAAAACTGAACAGCACCCTGAAGGAAGCTGCTCCTTGGACTCGCCCCTCAGACAGCACAAGAGATTCTCAATGGGGGCAATTTTGTCCCCTGGGCACACCTGGTAATGTCAGGAGACATTTTTGGTTGTCACAACTAAGGCGATCTACCAGTGTCTAGTGGGCAGAGGCCAGGCATCCTACAAGGCCCAAGACAGCCCCCAGCAGAGTATGGGGCCCAGATGTTAACAGTCAGAGGTGGAGACCCCTCCTCTAAAAGCAGGTTTGACAGCAGTAGGAGGTGGGTTACAAGGTAGAGAGGTGGAGCTGAGGGTAACAGCAGACCGAAAACATAAAGTCAGGACTGTGTACAACAGCAACTATGTGCTCACCACCTGTCTGTCAAGCACCATGATAAATGGCAAATTATTCCGTTTTAGTCTAACCCTGTTTAACATCAACCTATAACTTTGCCAAGTCAAAGACGCTCTCTGGTATTTATAACATTTATAACAGCCAACAGGTTGCACTTTGCAAAGGAAAAAATTGTTTCAATTAGCTGTCTTTCTGCAAAAAGGCTGATTTCATGGGGGCCCACTTATTTGTTGACTTCAGCTTATTTTTTTCTTCATACATCAGAAAGAGGAAAATAATTTGCCAACTTAAATCTTGGTTTTGCAGGAGATGGTATGCAAATAAGTATCAGCTTGCAACATTCAATTATTGTTAACTATAAATATACTTACCGGTTTATCATTTTCTGCTGGCAATTCAAACACACATCTAAGTTTTGAATCCATAAGGTCTTCTGGTTTTGCCTCCTTCCACTAAAACAATTTAAATTTAATAATCAGGATATTATAAAGCTGCTGGAAGAATAATTTTCCTCCTATAACTGACAATTTCAGAAAAATACTCTTAATGAGAAAGCCTTGATGTATATCAAATAAAGAACTTAAGTCTGCTGAGATTTCAATATTTTCAACATGACAAGATTAAATACAATAGCTCTCCTGAATATTTATTACACTTTGCAAATCCCAATTTTGCTGCCTAACTCCTCAAAGTCAACCAGCGCCCCCCTGCTGCTAGTCTGTGGGAAGCACATGGAACATAGAGGACGACTGCTGACGGCTGGATGGCCAGGGCTAACCTAGGCTCTCCTTTGGAAAATAAACCTGCCCTGGCCAGTGTGGCCCAGTGGTTAGGGCATCGGCATGCAGACCGAAGGGCCTTGGGTTTGATTTCTGATCAAGAGCACTTACACTCTCCACCACCCCACCACCACCCCTGCTCTTCCTTCCCCCCTTCCACTCTCTCTAAAAATCAATGCAAAAAATATCCTCGGGTGAGGATTAACAAAAGAAAGAAAGAAAAGAAACCTACTTTACAGAGTGCATCCCTCTTAGACAAAGTAAGCGTGTCCCATCTGGAACCATGCTGCTAACTACCAACGGGGCACATTAACCAGCAAGCCTCTCTCTGCCACTCCCCCCACTCTGTCCCTCGACCGGCTGAGCCGGTTCTGGGATGCTGCCCTCCTGGTTAACACGGACATTCAGGGCGTTCTGAGAGCTACAGCCCAGCCCAGCAGGAAGCTTATAATACAGAGAAGGAACAAACTTCCCCAGCCCTGCCCCGGGACCATGCAGGAAGCAGCTGGAGCAACACAGGTACCAAGAGCCAAGAAAGGGAGACAAGTGTGTGAACAACTGGGGACTGCCCAATAGACCATGGCGGACCATCCATGGGACAGCATGCCGCTCACATGAAACTGAAGAGTATTTCATTACATGGGAAATCCACAGAAAAATCAGTGAAGTGTGTGTGTGCCTGTGTGTGTACTTTTCCAAGATGAGAGAGAAAGGCTGTGCGGTGATACTGGGACACAAAGTGGGCTGTGCAGGAAACGCTAAGGCTGCTGGCAGGAGGACTGCTGGGAGTCCAAGCACCAGTTTACCCAGCACATTGCAGATTCCCTGCTATTAACCATAGGGGCAAATGTGTTTTGACACTGGAGAGAGTTGGCCATCGCCATCACAACCACGTAATCAAACTCAAGTGTCACCAATATAGGGAAAATCAGCATCAAATGTCTTCTGATATGATGCATGCATGATATCATCTATGGAATATTCTTGCCATAAAACATCTGATCTGAATGTAATCATGAGTAAACAACTGGACAAATCCAGAATGTGGGACATTCTACAAGTCAACTGGCCTGGACTCTAAAAAATTTAGTCAGGAAAACAAAAAAGGTCTAGGCTACTCTACTAGACCAAGAACTAAAGGCTACTGGGGGAGGACAAGTGAAAAACACTGTAACGAGGTTTCTCTGTTAGACAGTATCATCAGTGTAGACTCCTCGGCTATGATAACAGTATGTGGCTATGTAGGAGACTGGCCTTGTTCTCAAGCATTTAGGGGTGAAGTCTGTGTCTTATACTCAAGTGCTTCATTAAAAAACAAAGTTTATGACAGAAATGGAGCAAATGTGGCAAAATGTTAAATGGTGAATCTAGGTAAAGATGATGTGAGTGGTTACTGTACCATTTTTTCAACTTTTTGTATATTGAAATAAAAAGGTATTTTAAAATAAAGAAAAAGCATAAGGCTTCATTCATTACTAGTGGTTAGGACAAGTATAAACAAATTACAAGTAATTTTGTTTTTGTATTGCCAAAAATCCTACAATGTACATCACATATAAACATCTTTTAACCTGTTATAAAAATTACTGTATGAGGAAGTGAGATTCACCTTAACTACAGAGTGCCTGGCCTGCAACAGTAGATGAAACACAGCAGGGCACTGCCAGGCGCTCTACACAGACCACATTTCATCCCATGACAACCATGTCAACCAGGTCTTTAGCCCCATGTTACAGGTGACTGTTTAAACCCTCAATAGAGTTAATGAAAATCACCCAAGGTCACAATATTAGTAAAAGGCAGACCTCAGCTCCACACCCGAGACACCCAAGCCCATGCTCTTTTCAGTAAGCCATGCAGCAAAAGCTAAACAGAACATATTCTCAGATATTCCATATTTCATATTTGCCATACATTTCCTTGATCACACAAATTAACATTAAATGGCACATCATGTTCCAGGAAATAAAAGGGAAAGTAGTGAATGCCTCAATACTCATTTTTATGAAAAGGAGGATGGCTCATTATCACTGATTTCTCTCAAACCCCCACATAGTGGCTTCTCCTTCATTTACTGCCCAAAAGTTAAACACCATGAAGATGGTTGGTTTACTTTTCCAAGATGAGAGAAAAGGGCTGTGTGGTGTAATTCTGGGACACAAAGGTGGGCTGTGCATAAAAACAGCCCTTAGTGTCAAACTCAGAGGGAGGAAAACCACAGTACGGGTGTGAGTCACAGCAAACTCAAACTTGCAGGCATTCCTCGGATGACTGCAGTCTCTTAGTTTGGGTTGGCAGGCTGGGAAGTGATGGAAACGTTGAGGCAATCCTGCCTTTCTTTCCCACACTGTGAGGACTAGACATCTGTCCTGGCTGGTGCGATGGATTACAAAGCTGCTCTGTATATTGTGATTCACGCTCACAGCACCAGCAGGCCTCCTCGTTTCTTAGAGTGTGTAAGAAGCTTACTTTGGAATTTCTATTATACGATTTTTCCAGAAAAACCAATAATATAGTATCACTTTTTTATTTTAGGAAAATGAAGTCATCTTATTTTTACCAAAATCAGGGAGTTAGACTGCATTTAAACAGGAAAAAAAAAAAATTAAAAATGAAGGAATCTAAAGAAAAAAAAGAATCATGCTTGCCAGAGCCAAGCCAAAATAAAACACACCTCTTCAGAGCTGAGGATATTTAGTATTCTCCTCTCTCACATCCCCCTGGGTTCTGGGGGGATGGGAGAGACACGGTAATGAATGGTGCCCTTTTCTGTAGGGCACAGGATAGGGAAAGGGGGAAGAACCCAAAAACCATTCATGATATGATCAATCAGAACAAGGAAGTGCTGAAGCAAACGAATACAAAAGTCAAAAAAGAGTATTCTGGAGAGTTACATAAAATGTAAAATTCAAAGCTTTAGAAAAACTATACAGGCAGTCAGAGTACAAACCTCCCTGGAAACACCACACCCCTTTAAAAGCCATTTTGATACATTGTGAAACGCATGCACACACGATTCGATACCTGATCATTGAATACTAAAAAGTAAGAAGCATTCAGTACTTACTACTGCTTCCATATCAGAAGTGTCAGTTGGCGCAAACATAGACTGAACCATAAACTTGTGTTTACTTTTCTCATTGGGATCATAATCGAAAGGCTGTAACATCACTAAGAAAGAAAATATTTCATTAGGAGGGTCAGAGCTTGGTTACCAGCAGCCATTTGTTAACACTTGTATTTTGGTTGTAAGGCAATTTACCCGGATTCTCTCATCTGAGCCTCATGATGCCCCAGGTGAAGTGAGCAGGGCAAGATGACCAGCATCTTCTCCACTTTTCAGATCTCAAACCTGAGGTCCAGAAAAGTTATGTGACTTGCCAGAGGTCGAGCAGCAGGGAGTGGCAGAGCTGGGACCCAGGTCTTCTGAATCCTGGCCCGCTGATCGCACACCTGACACAATGTCTCCTACAGCCCTCACAGAACAGGTAAACCAGGTAGAAACCCACATGCCTGCTTTGCTCAAGAAAATACCCAAATAATCTCTTTAGGAACTAAAACAAAATAATCCAAGATGTGTAAGGAATTGCTTTTGCTTCTCTCTGTCCTATTTCCCACAGCAAGGTAATCAAGGTAATGCTTGAAATAAATACAGTATTACTAATAAAATATTATGCAATTTTCACAAGCAGCACACTCACAGTATGGAGAAGATGCCACCAGCTCATGCCCCTTTTCTCCAGAAGGACCTAGAGGAATCTCACATAAAGGCTCCCTGTCCTCTGACAGTGCAGCTCTGCCCTCCTCCACCGCAGGCTTCCTCAACCTTTTCTCTGGTCACTCCTACCTCACTGAGGAAGGTGCCCCCCTGCTCTGACTGGTTTCCTTAGGACCTACCCCTGTTAAATGACAGCTGCTTTAAAATATGGTATTTGCTATCAGGCTTTGGCTAAACCACACATCTAGTTATGTTTCTGAAACATGTCATTTTCGCATGCGGGAAAAGCCTACTGTGGTCCTGACGGTGATAAGAGCTAACGCGACGGAGCGTTTTCCCATGTGTCAGAAACCAGGCTTGGACTTCAGGCCTATTATTATCCATCTAATCCCTAAGGGGCAGGTACTGTAGCAAAGGTTATTGTGACGCCTATTTTCAGATGACAAAATGGAAGTACATAAAGGTCACATGTGGAGAAGTAAGCACTCAAATGAAGGCGGTCTGCCTGCAGAGCCAACATCACAGCCACCAGGAGGGACTGAGTCGTCATCTGACAGGACAGCTCTGCCCTCCTCCACAACCTTTTCTCTGGGCACTCTTCACTGTTTTCTTGCCTTGAACCCCATCTTAGGGCTTCCAAGGTCTTTCCTCTGAAGCCTTAAAATCAACCACCCCCTGCAGCAAATAAGGAGCAAGTGCCCTAAGACTGAGTTTACAAATGAAGATGTTGGAGCTCAACAAAGTAAACTGGCTTGCTTAAGGTTACAACGTTGGGAATACAAAGAGCCAAGTGCAGCCCAGCGCCCCTTCTGCCACATGAGTCACTCCAACATTAAATGGTTTCACCTCCTGTACCCCAGGCTCACTGTCACATACCTCATAGAACCATATATGATGGAGAAAAGAAATACAAAGAACCCCATCTGTCTCAGGGGTGCAGGGGTCCTTTCTATCTTGAGGGCAGAGAAAGTCTATTAAGATCTAACATGGCATCCATTTAAATGCTTTAGTGTACAGTCACCCAGACAGCTCCACTGCCCACAACTCATCTCAGTGCTCTAGGCTACAGGGGAGGCACACTGGAAGACTTCTTCAGGACAAAAATTAATACGTGTGCAACGCTTTAAAAAATTCGGGGCTTGTATACAAACAACAGCAAGTCTAGCTACAGCACCCAAGATCCAAAGTGTGACCATGAGCAGAGAGAACTAAGGCCATTTCAAATACAGGGCGACTGAACTCAGAATGTGTTCTTGCACGTGTAAAGGCATGTTCTCTCCTGGAAAAGCAGTCCCTGCTGGCAGCTCTGGACCTGGCAACACTGAGCTGGCAAGAGCTCTCCCAGACAGACCTGAAACACCATGACACGCTGGGCTTGACACTTAACCTCACCAGTAGGTCAAAACCAGGACCTCTTCTTCTGAAAGCTACATTCTCCTAGTGTGTACCCCACCTCCATCCCCAGTGCAACAAGGACGATAACACAGATAAACTAAGGACGACTCAATGGGATCTTTCTTGGACAGGAACTGTCAACCTCTTTTGAAGCTGGGTCACACACAGTCTTCAAACTACTGTCAAATTAATGTTCATTTTAAAAAATTAAAGCAAATTGGGTTTTGAGCATTTCAGTTTTTGCTTGGCTGTGACAAAATCATGCTCCAGTATTTTTCTGGGGAAAGACACAAACTTTGTCCTACACTATGCTCAGACTTTCAGCAGGGCACAGCTCTTATAGCAAAAACTGCTTCCTCCTTGAGACGTTTTTCCAGCTGTGAGAGGCCCCTTCTCCTCCACCCTGGAGAGCTCTGAGGCTGAACCAGGATTACTGGTAAAGAGCCCGAAGTCCAGAAGATGAGAGCAACAGGAAGACATTGCTAATTTTCAGGGAAGTTGGCTCTTTAGCTCAAACTGCATTGGGTTATCCACATAGAACCAATGGGTCCAGAGAACCTAAGACCTCCCCACTTAAATAGTCCAGGAATGCTCCCTCTTCCTCAAGGCAGTGCATGTGAGAGAGAACAGCCAACGGACCTCTGCTCAGCTAGAACCAAGAAGGAAAGGAAAGGAACCTTCACTAGTGCTGCTATGCACCAGGCCCCACAGAAGGCCCATTTCATTAGTTCTGTCATTTAGTGCTCACAACAATCCATGGAAGAAGCCCATGTCTTCATTTTCCAGACAAGGAGACAAGGGCTTAGAAAGGCCACATGGCCTCACTCAGGTCCCACGGCAGCATACTAATGACGGAGCCAGTCAGTGCTCCATACTGGCTTTGCCTCCAGAGTCAGACTTCCACACCACAGGTTCTCAAAGAGTTACCCATAGACTCCAAAGGTCTCTGCAACGGGTGACCCATTAAGTCAAAACTGTGGTCATGATAATACCAGGATGTTATGAGCCTATTCTACCATGGTGACACTCAGTAATGTTGGCACAAAAGCCCTGGGGTGAAGTTGCCTGCACCTGACCAGGGACCAGACAGTGCCCCACAGTGCTGGCATCTCCATATCAAGCACTGCCACACACACGTGGTTTTCCTGAAAAGGTCAGTTTCACTGAAGAATGCCCTTGATGAAGTGATGAGACAATTTCACTCATGTCCACACCTGACAGCACATGGTGACACTCGCACAGGGGGCACTGCTGTTCTCTGGGAAAAGTTCCTGTGCATCTGTCTGGCTGGGGGGCTGAGCCAGACACTGGCTCATGGAACACCACGGACTTGGAAATGATGGTTATTCAGACTTAGGTATGTGGCAGATGTTTTTTCAATGAATGAAGAGAGTCTATCCATTCAAGGAAAACAACTTATAGTGGTTGTAGCCAATAAAATCCAGGCTTTTAAGCAAAAATTAGAACCTTGGAAAACTTATATATGTCGTCAAGAGCTTCACAGTTTCCCAAGTACTTAAAGACTTTTCCAATGAGATCAGTGGAAACTGTAACAAATGTGATTTTTTGATGCTATATAATGAAATATGTCATTTGGAAGACCTGTATAACTCAGCTAACATAATATTACAAAATCCAATCAAAGTGCAAGAGAGACTAATGCATTTTAGAGAAACAAAGTTCAGACAGTTCACTGATGTGGTTTCAGATTCCACACTGTACTGAATGTCAAAGGAGTGCCACTTGTCAAGTTTTGGTATAGTATCAAAGAATAATGTCCAGCCCAGCCGGGCGTGGCTCAGCGGTTGAGCATTGACCTAGGATCCACGAGACTGGGATTCGATTCCCAGTCAGGGCACATGCCCGGGTTGTGGGCTAGGCAGCCGATCAATGACTCTCTTCTATCTCTCTCTCTCCCCCTTCTTTCCTCTCTCTGAAATCAATAAAGATATGTTAAAAAAAAAAAGAAAAAAGAATAATGTCCACAAGTATCTGAAAAGACTATTAAAAATACTCTTCCCTTTGTCCTGGCTGGTTTGGATCAGTGGTTAGAGTGTCGGCCTGCAGACTGAAGGGTCCCGGGTTTTATTTGGGCCAAGGGCACATACCTCAGTTATAGGATCGATCCCTGGCCCTGGTTGGGTGGGTGCAGGAGGCAACCAATCAATGTATCTCTCTCACACTGATGTCCCTCTTTCTCTCTCTCTCTCTCCCATTCTCTCTGAAAAGCAATGGAAAAAATATCCTCGGGAGAGGATTAAAAAAAACAAACACCTTCCCTTTTACAACTACAGAGTCTATGGTAAAAGTGGTTTTCCTTCATGCACACTCATCAAAATGACACATTACAACAGACTAACTGCAAGAGCATAGAGAATCCAGCCTGTCTTCCACTAACCCAGACATTCAAAAGATTTGTAAAACATGATAAATAACACCAGTTTTCTCATTAAATTTTTGGATGTAATTTATTGATGTGATTATAAAATGAATTAATACTTTTTAAACTTCTCAGTTTAATTTGCAATATGATAAATATTGATACAACCACAAACAAAAATGTTCTTGGGTCTTCCATATTTAAGAGTGTAAAGGGGTCCTCAAACTAAAAAAGTTTGAGCACCATCATTCTACACCAAGCTGCCTTGCAGGCCCCGCAGGAGGAAAATGATCTGGTGCAATAGTGAAGACACTGGTAGTGTTGTCTAGTACCCTGCTTGGGAGAAATTGCAGTTGAGAGAGCAAGCAGTTTACACAAACCCAGCCTTGAGTTCCCATATGGATCGAGACTCTGTGGCATCAGAAGGCACATGTCCCTTACAGGGAGGGGACAAGGTTCCCTATGCTCCTCTAACCTAACCACCTTGCAGCTGCTTGCTCCACCTCTGCAAAGGGCACCTCTGAGATCCACTGCTGCCCGTGGACCTTACCAACATCAGCACAACTCCAGGCTTAGCGCACCCTACCTGCCAAGTCACCACAATGTAGATCTGGAAGACCGTGAGAGGATATACCCTACATTTAGACCTCCAAATTAAACAAAAATGTAAGCAAGTGG